ATGGACGGAGCGGGAGTCGACACCGGACGGATACGACCCCACTGGACTATCCAAAGCGTCACCTGAACCAGGGAACCATGTACATCCAAGCACACTCAATCCTTGACATTCCAGCATTAACAGACGTGCCAGCATTCATTACGGAAATGGACGACCTGACACAGCAAGGCTGCAATGACAACACACAGCGTTAAAGATAATGTTTTAAAGATGCTCGCTTGAAACGCATGTTCGATACATTCCTTTAACCTTTTTTGGTGTTCAGAGACGCTACTAGACTGGTTCATGATACCCCATTCCTTGAAACTAAAGCAAGTGTGACTTCATCGACGTGGTGACAAAGGGCGGGGGTGATTGATACACCATATGGATCACCATGAACATCAACAATATATGTCCCATAGCACAGTGGGGCACGGAACAGAACTTCAGGCGGCAGTCGACCTAGATTCAAAAACGCGGCCAAGTTCTAAGCCATGGACATATGGCCTACCTGGATCTTCCAACTGGTGCTAAATGTCTGCCCTTTCATCTATAGAACCAGCTCTCAGTTCGGCCCAAAAAATACCATAGTTGGAAGACCCAGGCAAACCAGGCCCAGCCACGAGCAAGTTTACCCCCGCAATGGATGTTGACCAGTGGGGATCACTACAATCCAGTAAGAGGGGATAAAAAGTTTGTATACCAGTGGCCCTCAAACCCGTGAAAAAATAGAGGACACCCATGTCTTTTGCAAGGGAAAACCCACATCTTTGATGCTTTCTAGGGCCCATCAGGTGAACTAATCGCTATTAATCCTAGCGCCCGAAGGCACCGAAAGGCATCGAAGGTCGAAGACGATGATCCCAAGGTTCCGTGTTCCGAGGCGGCCTCCAGATCGTGCGCCACACTCTCGACGACGTCTTCCGCCTTCTCCACCACGGTCTCGATGGCCTAAATGTCAATCCACCACGGTCACCACGGCTGGGAGATGAGGGGAGACCAGTGGAGAAACACATCTACCAATCTACCACTGACTAGGTATATATATATACCCTCAAAAAAAAGGGGCAACCACATGCAACTACCGAGAAAAACAGAGCAAGACCTACTTGTGGATCTCTCCGAGAGAAAGAAAAAATGAAACAAACCAAGAACAACAATCCGTCAAAGCACTTCGTCCATAGCTTTCTCAATGAGCTTTAAGGTATGCATTGTATACATATTCTCAGAGCTCAGGGCGAGCTACTTGGGCTGCATCTTGCACCACCTCGGCGAGATTCTCTTCCACCTTTTTCACCTCCTCTTCGACCGCATCGCAGCAACTACACGCCATGGCGCAGCGGGAACCGCGGCCGCGGTGCTTCGTTGGCGACAAGAGGCTGACTGGAGAGACCGGTGGCGCCATGGTTTGGTTCCCAAACCCGAACACAGGATCCACAGGATCCAGGCTGTGGGCAGGGGTCAAAATCCACCTTGGTAACGAAGAACATTCTTCAGATGCCTTCGATCATGTACCTGGACCCTCTGTTCCATCGGTATTTCCTGGTGACAAGTGCCAGGTCTCATGGTGTCTAGAAACCACCTCTTAGTGTCCTGACACCACCTGCTGCAAAGTCCTGTAATATCCTGGCAACAAAACATGAGTGGCTCTTAAGGAATCCAAGCCCCCAGACATGGAGTGTAAAACCATGTAAAGCCTCATGATCTGGGGTGAAATATCACCATCAAGAGTTGACTCCAAGCTGAGTTGATATTTCCGCACGATCGATCCCATCCAGTTCCGCCGCCTTCGCCCCGTTTCACGCCCCCGTACGTGCGTGTGTCGCGGCGGTGTCCATCGACGGATTAGACGTCCATCCCACTGAAATCCACCGAAATCGCCGTCCAAAAAACATACAACAAACTGCGGCAAAAAGAAACTTAAAAACACATACGGTCGAAATCACCTCTTGACTAAGAGATACTATAACCCTAAGAAGTCCAAAGACTATATTTTGACCGGCTAAAATAAAGGAACTTCCCTTTCAGGTCCCCTAGTCAGACCATTCTTTTTATAGTCTTTGACTCCCAGGGATAAGAGATAGTATTGCATACAATCTTGCGTGCAGCTCGGAGACCTGGACCGTCTGGACCCAATTTTTGCACTCTACGGCGTGTCTACGTGAGGATGGTCCTACGTGTCGCAACACGACGGAATTCATCAGAATGTGGCACAAACTCTTGATCTTCAAACGTGATCGCACAAGTATGCAAAAGTGCCCACAGACCTCCGTGCACACAAGCGGAACTCATTATTGAACTAGGCCTTTCAAATCCAAATACCTGAGAACTAGGCCGCTGGGACGGCTACCGCGAAAGCACCTCGTCTTTCAAGTCTGAAAAAGTTAACGCATCAAATACCAAACAGATCCAAACAGAATGGACCAACATGGGGACGGGGTGTTTTTCCCTGTCCACCACATCCACAAGCTGATTCTATGTAACCCTCCACATGATGCGCTCACACCGTCCGCATCGTCCGCATCGTTCCCCATCACCAACTCAGCGGAGTCATCGCCTGACTCGTCTCACTCGTCACGGAGTTGACAGACACCACAGACAGCCACCACCGACTCTCGCGCCCAACAACCCACAGCTGTCCCTCTCCCCCCCCAACACACTTTCCGAGGACGGAACGAAGCTCGAGACCTGGACGAGATTCCGCTCTAGCGGTGTTTTGGTGTCGCCAAGGGCGGGCAAAGCCCCAAGCAAGGCCCATCCCGACGGTGTCGGCACGGATTCCGAACCATGGCAAAAGACGGGTGTGGTGTCAGCCGCGGCAGATGTCTCCACGGTCGATGCACCGGAATCTCTGGGAACATCGGGGGCGGCAGACTGGTGTTGATCCGTTCCTGGTCATGACAGTCTGCCGACCTCCTTTCCAACCCAAGCCGCCCCGATGCGCATGGCGTGCCGTGCCTCCTGGAGCAGTCCCATCACACGCAGAGTCCTCCCTGCGAGGACAGGCAGCGACATCCAATGCCTCGAGGCCGGAAGGTTCAGCTTTCAGATTCTAGAGGGAACCAAGGTTCTGCATGTGCTGACTGTGGGAACTGCAGAACTCAAGCGAACTGCAGAACTCAGGTGGAATGCAGGGTGTTGTTGTTACTGCACAAATAAGCAACACGTGAAGTCACATTTAGGCATGCATGCATCTGCTCAATCGTCCAAGTGTTTCTTGGCACAGAAACCTGCCCTTTCTTCTGTCTGCGGAGCGCGACCTAAACCTCCGGCGGACGGAAAACGGATGAAAACGGGGCCCAGAGACCATGAGACCTGGAAGGATGAGTCCGAGCTCGGTGTTGGCGTCGCCCTTCCTCCCCCCTCTTTGGACTGACCGCAGTTGACCGGTCAACCAGCGCACCGGGACAGGGTCAACCCTCGATGATCTGAGACTCCGACCCGCGCCATTTGGTCGTGCGCCACAGGAGTGAAAAAGCTAGCAGCGCAGCGGGGCGGATATGAATTCCTCCCTTTCAGAAAAAGGGCGATTCAGAAGTCATGTCCTGTCTCGAATTCTGAGCCAATTGATTTCGGTGTTCTCCAGATGATCCATTCAGCGAACGTCACGTGATTTTTGCCTCGGCATGACTCAGCTGGCACATGTCGGGTCGGTACGGAAAGGAGAAGACGCTCCCCGCTTCACGCCGCTTCATGTTGTGGTTCGATGTGAAGCAAACCCGCGAAGCAGGGCTGACTCGAAGCAAACCTGGATCTGTGAACACCTGCAAACTATATATATAAGCGATATGTCATATATGATATCACATGACATAGATCCCACCCATAACTCCTTGTAGTGTGTTTAGATATCCTGGAAGCTCTATCCCTTGGAAGCAATGTGTGCCCAAAGAGAATTCAGTCAGCGAAGTCTGACCGGAGCCCGGTGGAGCCCGGTCGACCGTGGACGGGTGAGAACGAGAAGCGGGAGCTAAAACAGGTCCAGTCCACGCGTCCTTGGACGCGTCAAATTGGTCATCTGAATATTCTGTTCAAACGTCTATATCATGTTCTATATATTGGCGATGTTTGTTGTAATTCTTCTGTACGATGCTCGTTACTGATGCTCTACATGTAATTTGTCAAGCCCACGTGTACCGATAAATATGAATTATATTGAATTATAGCTTTCATAATATATATTTATCTAACAAACTTTAAACTTTAAGATTTCATGGTCTGATTATTCTTTGAATAATCTCTTTTCCGGAGATTTTTCCTGCAGGATTCTTCATTTTTTGCCTGGGCAGTCAAGCTACGCTTCAGAACCAGCAGCCGGGCGTTCAACAAGACTGACCAAAACAGACCAAAACACTGAGCTTCCGGCTTTTCGCCTGGCACCGCGCAGTGGAAGCGCCACGCTATGCAAGATCATCACTTCGGGTCAGTTTGTGTGTGGTTGTGTGTGACTCCGTTCAACCGTCCGAAAATGATTTCTACGTTCGGGGCTCCTGGCCTTACTAGGAGCGATCTGACGCTACTAGAGTATATTATCAGTATATTCTCACGGTTACCACCCAGAGCGTGGTGGTCCGCCCGAAATGGTTTTTTTGGCATAGCTCCCTACTCCACCAGGCCACTGCCTTGCTTTTGGCTGCTGGCCGCTCTTCCTTCAGCGTCTTCACAAAGGGAAAGAATTCCTGGCCGGTCTTCACATGTCGTTGCTTCACATGGAAGGCGCCTTTCCGGCACGTCTTATCGGTCCGTGCGGGCAAGAGTGTCATTCTCTAGGGTAGAGGGTGTCTACCCTAGCCTTCAAAGATACCGGGTGGTCCGGTGTTAGTGTAAAACAATGTAAAGCCACTGCTTTCGCTATTGGGATTCAGACCAGAAAAGCATACGTGGTTGGAGGCCATCGTTATTGGGTTGGAGGCCATTACTACTATAGGAGCAAGGACGCTACTAGTAGGTGTTTGAAGCTACTAGTAACAACAAGCTTTTTAGTATGTCTTTGAAGCTTTTAGATTAACTAGAAGCTACTATAGGTTGGACGCCATGGCTATTAGGTCCTCCATTGCATGCGATGTTCGAGCTACATTTCTTCGCTGGTCCTGACCGAGGAGGAAGGGCACCAAAGCACGAGGCACCTGGCGAACCGAACGCTCATCAGACCGGCGCGGCGATTGGAACACAGAACGTCGCAAGCATGGGCGAGGAATAGATTCTATATACCTAGCACTTCCTGGGCCTGGGGCCCTGGAGTAGGAGACCTGTAGTAAGTAGGGTAGGGTAGTCGAACGCCAGGACACCCAGACAGGATGATCCTGGTAGATGGAACAGATTCTATCCAATACACTCCCTTAAGCAGTGGTTGTTAACAATTGTTTCTGTGTTCTGAGTTAGCACCAGCTTTGCGGCTGGATTTGAGAAATGTCCTCCCAACTATAGTCGCTATAGCAGGATAACAAAAAAATCCAGAAGTAGTTCTGACACGTTCAACTGTTCACATGTTGCATCAGGTGGAGGGGCACCCGTACTCCATCCTCTTCTTGATAGTTTTCCACCACGCAGCACATCGCTCTCTCCTCAGCATCACGTCTCCAACCAGCATTGGCCCCACGGCGACGCGGGAAACCATTGGCCAACGTGGTTTGCCCACTTGGCCCACGGCAGTGGCGCAAAGCGTGCTATTCAGCATGTGGCAAAACCTCGTTCAGGGGAGAGATCACTGTGTTTGAGCAAGCGTGGATCGCTGTCTTACTTACTGACTCCACATGGGGCGTCTTGAAAAAGGCGCCATGTGCCAACCACTCAAGACATCTCAATACTGCTCGGATCAGAAAATCATGACTGCCATGTGCCTAATTCTGTGAGTTCTTCCACCTTTCCGGCCGTCTTCTTCGCTCCGGTTTCTTCCCACTCGCTTCACCTTCCGTTCGCTGTTCCACCGGCGCCCGGACGGATCCTCTGGTCTGAAGCCGAACTTGGTTTGCATCGCACGTGCCTCGCCGCGGTCCGCGGTTCACCCGCCGGGTCCGATCCGACGCGTCCGATCCGACGTCCGGATGCGGAGCGGTGGGGCGATGAAGAGAGGAAGTGACACGGACCGTGGTCGGCGGTGGCGATAGAACGTGATGTTTGAAGCGACATGTGATAGAAGCGTGATTCATGGAAGTGTTCAACAAAGTGGAACATAGTGGAACCGTTCAAAATACCATTGGTGTGATATGTTGCACTCAATTTTTGAGAATCACCACTCCATGGCCCGCCTGATAGTCTGTACAGTTCGAGCACGAGACCAACTCCCTGTACCTCAGATGCTCCAGACCGACCAACTCCCATTCACCAGAACTTCTGTTTTGACTCATTGAACTACCCCACCGGGCAGTCATGATCCACCACCTGGAAACCCAGTCAGCATGCAGAAAAATGTCTCGATGTATCCCCAAACAGCCACCGTTTCCTTGTAAAGAATCTCGGCGTCATGTGGCGTTCCAACCAGAACTGTTCCGGGCGTCATTGGCCGTCGGAATTCGATCGAGTGTGGTGGGGAGACTCCGTCGACGTGTGTTTTGCTTTGTTCCCCCGACCGTCGTTATCGACCTCAACTCGGACCGACGGACCTCGTCGTCACGACTCTGAGGCCGTGGCTTGCCTTTGCCTTCCGCATCACCGGGGAACCAACCTTCCAAGTCATACCTGCCAAAAGAATCCCACGATCAGAACCCGACGCGAACCAGCCGGCGGTGGGTCAATTTCCAGCGGCTTCCTCAACCTTCTTCGACGCGGTTCACCGCGCGTGTCAACCTTCTTCGAACGGCGAGTTCGGGGAAGTGAACGGCGCGTTGGAAATCGCTGAGCCGAAGAAAGAGACGAATTGCCCGCGCCAGTGGAGTGGAAATCAGCCGAAAGCCAGTGAAGAGAGTGGAATCGTGCCCAGGAGGAAGTCTCTTTGTCGCTTTTTCCAACCTAGCTTCCTTGCAGCTATAGATGTTCGGAATATAATATCAACAATTTCTGAATCTGGGCCCTCAAATCGAAAGGGTTTGGTTTGGGCCCAAACCTCTGCAAAAGTGTCCGTCTGCTGAGGGTCCGAGGTTTATCCGGGCAGAAGACAGGACAGGACACCCGCCATTTCCCTGAAAACCGGCAACTCATCCACCCACCTCAATCGCCACATTCCTACCTTGTTCTTGCCACATGTGGCCACCTCCTCCGCCGTTCCGCGCTCCGCGCGGACCCGCGTCGCGTGTTGGTTTCGTCGCACTTCTTGGCCGCGGCGTTGTTCAGCTCACCGGAGACGATGGCCACCGTTCGGTAGGGAATGCCCAAGCTCTGGTAGAACTCCTCCGGATCTCATGGATATGGTTAAAGAGTTGACAGCGTTGATGGATTCCATCAGTTTGATGAGGAGTTGCAGGGTTTGTGTGGGTAGATGCCAGGTTACAATGGTCATTCTCCCACTTGCTCACAGTGCTAAAACGCGGTCAAACATAACCGGTCCTTTTTTGCTGTGCCAGCGCACATTGACGGTGTAGTAAACTGATGAAGATCCCACATGTGGAGGTTTGTCCGAAAAAACGGACATGCCTTCCCCCGTGGACTGGATATGCCATCTCGATCCACTCACGCCGAAAACGTGACTGAGAATGAGTGTTCTTGCTGAATGCATTTGGGATTGCCAAATTTTCTAGACCTGGTTCCAAAAACCAGAGTTGCACCATGAACAGAGTTTACCTAGCATGTCAGAGTGGCAAACTTGGCATGCCAAGACCTTCCTGAGATGGCCTCCAAGTAGGGACCGTCAAAAGCACGGCACTCTTCGCGGACTTAGCAAACTTGTGTCGCTCTACACTGCAAATGATCTGCACAATGACAAGCGCCGTAGAGAATAGCAGCACCGTATGCAAAACGGCGGCAACTTTACAAAAAGAAATACATTGGCTGAACCGTTAGATGAAGCAACGGGTGAATTCGCGAGCGCTCTGCCAAGTAGTCAAAATTGCAGGCAGAGCGCAGCGCATTGACAACTCAATCCGTCTCCAGCTGAAGAGTCACCAGCTCACGTTGGTGCCAGGCAACAAAAGCTTCGCGTAACAATTACCATCAAGGTGGCAAAGGCACTGCATCCCTTCACCAATGGACAGCAAGCCTCTGCTATTCCTAGGCGGAAATCGATGTGAAATGAGCATTCTGGGTAAAGAAAGGCAAAACATTGCACTAGCTTGAAGTTTGTGGTATGAGTATGAGTCATTCTGAGTCCCTATGAGGCTCTTCCTGCTCCTTTTTATTGTTTCTTTCTTCGGACCTTTCTTCCGATTTTTCTGTTCTTGTCTGTCTATGTCTCTCTGACCTTTCGTTGAGTCACCATAAGTCACTACGAGTCCTCATCAACTATATACGTCGATCTTTGTTCATGTCGATTGTTGTCGTTGTCGTTGTTGTTGTTGTTGTTGGTGGTGCTGCTGCTGCTGCTGCTGGTGTTGTTGTTGCTGTTGTTAAAATGTTTCAACAAGCGACAACACGGCCGCATCCAGGCGGGTGAGGCTATGGTCTGGCACCATACTTTTCAAAGAAAATGACCCACAAACGAGCGAGATGACACACATGAGCTGAGTGTCCTGTAGGCGTACATCGCGTAGACGAAAGCAAACAAGATGGTCAAGAACAAGAAAACATAGGGCCCCCGTCGCGTGCACATGTCGCTGCCCACATCTGCAGTAAGCACATCGCAACGATCCATGACATGTCGCTGGAAGGAATGTCCCAGCATCGCGAAATGGATCATGTTGTCCACCTGACCGAGAGAAATTCAACGGTTGACTCTTCAAGAGCCACCATCAAGCGGAATCGTGGGAACCACGTCGTTTTCAGCGTCGTTTTCACCCAACACACGGAACGATTGGAGAGAGTGCTCCCATCCGTTCCTCGACCCTTCGACTCGACCCCCACGTCGCGAACAGGCCTCGTTTGGGCCAAGTCCCGTGGGGTCAAGGCCCGAAAAGAGAAACAATAAAGACATCCCATTGCCCTACAGGTCAAGGTCCACATGCTACTGCTAGCAAAAACAGTACACAATGAGGTCAGTCAGACCAGGTTTCACTTGGTCGTTGGACTGCTAGGGATGGGTGTTGACCGAAGACCACTGAGAGATGGGCATGTTTGGTCTGTCCGAAAGAATCGTGTTAGCAACAAAGAACGAAGAGGAATCAAACACGATCACTTGAGAATACGACAAACCAAAATGCAAATTAAAATCATACAATTTTAAGGTGTTTTGATGGGTTCTTTAAAAAAGCACTTGGCATCATTTGGCATTGTTCAACGGTTGCGGCTTCAGTCCATTGAAAAGTTCTGGCGCCTCAATGAGAAAACCCAAGGCGGTACTGTTCAGGATCAGGTCCTGTAAGTTGCTGGTGATCGTCAAGAAGACCAAACCTACATAGAGGACCACGACAGCAATCAACGACCTGTCGTGAAGCAATCGGAAGCAGTTTGGTTCGCGAAAACGCCAAGAGCTTGCAAGGGGTTGCAAATAGAAATGAATATTCCTCAACGTTTCTCTCCGCCACTTCATCTGTTTGGGCGATGGGTGGCTGAAAAGGTGGACTTATTTACGGTGTATAGAGCAGGTGCGAAGACCCTTTGGCCAAGAGGTGAACCGGCATTGGATCTTGAAAGCATTCAACATATACATATATATTATATATATATATATTAAAAAAATTACACCTGGGAAATTTAACATGGAACCTGAAAATGGACCTTTGGAAGACGATTTTCCTCTACAACCCAGTGGTTTTCAGGTTCATGCTAATTTTGTCGGGCGTATTCCATTAATTATACTCCTATACTAGAAACCAAAAGGAGTTAAGCGCTAGAACTCCATATTACGCCCTACAGAAAGAGAGGAAACTCCATTACGGATCACCTGAAGATCATGTTTGAAGTCTTGGACTCCCACTAGATTTCAAGTCAGCCAAATGAACCTGATCAGATTCAAACTCGCTTTTCCCGGACCGCCGCCACTCTTTCTGGCTTTAGCGCGGCGTTAGTCGCACCTCATTGGGTAGTGCGGTGCCGTCCTCTGAACCTCTAAGTACACTGAAACTCCACCATCTGAACTCTAAGAACATCACAAGAAATACAAGCAACTTCAAGGGAAAGGATGGTTCATAACAGACGTGAAATGTTTGGATTCAAGAATTAAATTGGCCACATTCATGGCAAGATGGGCAAACCCACCAATTGATGCAAAACGGGCGGGCTCGGATTGAGCCGCTGTGTGGCTCAAGTGTTCGAATTTGTCCGCCGCTTCAGTCAGCGCTTGTGTGGCAAGCTTGACCCCTGCAAAGCACCCACTAGCTTCTGCCACTTGCAAATTGACAAACAGCAGGCCCCAGCAAACGCTCAAAAGCACTGTCAGCCGGAAAAGATGCCACAGCAGCACTCATAGTCCTGCTTCGCAGGCCGCCGCTGCAGCTGCTAGTCACTCGTTCCTGACCTTCTTCGCTGGCAGCCTGGTCTTCGGGTTGGGTTTTGCAGTGCGTTTTGGCTTTTGCGCAAGAGGCATGGTAGGAGCGTCCTGCTCAGCGTCTGGTGGCTCGGCGCTGGACTGGAGCTTGTCCGTGCAACTTGTTGTGGCCAGCGCCGCTGCTGCTGCTGCCGCCAATTCTGCGGCTTACTGTTTCTCTTGCAAAGCTAACAGTTGCTTTTGCAGGAGGAGTTCTTGCTCCTGCAAATTTAACACCATTTGGTCGGCAACTGACTGGCCGTGGGTGGCGCTGGGGGTAGGCACAGCCTCGCGTGTTGAGCACGCTGCTTTGTCTGGTTTGCTGCTGCCACCGGCCAAGCAAGCCATGATGCCAGCAGGGCCACTGCTTCTTCCTGCGCGTGCTGCTAGCACCTAGGACGGCAGCCCAAGTAGCTGAAGCCACTCCTGAGCACACTCCTTCGAAGGCGGATGTCGCCACTCCAGCACAAAGGTGGGTCAGGCGAGTCTCACGTGCTGGTTGGTCATGTTGGCGATGCCATACGCGGTCGGGGTGTTGGCTAGAATGCCAGTGTTGGTGCATGGGGTGCGTGCCACCGCCGCTGCTGCCACCCTTTGCCGTAACCACCTTTGCCCATTCTGGCCAGCTGGCTGACGCTTATGGACCAATGGAAGCACTGTGCCCGCAAGTGCAGAGAGCATACTGCAGGGTGGCACAGGCATGCCTGACTGCTTCTGGGAAATACCTACCACACTGCTAGGATTCTATGACGGGGTAACCATGTAAAGCCCAAATTTGCAGTTCGCATTCCACTGCCATTTTCATGTCCTCCGGTGTTAAGAGACTTCAAACGAGATAGTCGCCCATTCAGCACACCCATGTCCACCAAATCGACTCCTTGGAAAGGTATGACGCGAAACTTATATAGTGGGCCGACACACCACGCCATGGAGAGCCTGTGATCTCCACGCATGTTCAACACCATGAGCATGCGCGCAAAACCCAAATATCAAGCCATGGTGCGCCAAGCTCCTTGGCTTAGCAGCCTCAAATTGGACTGCCTTGTCATAGAACTGGCACACCATGATCTCAACGCAGGAAGAACACAAGACCGAGGATAGCATGGCCAAGTCATCAACATATCGCGTGGCAGCAACTACGCGTTCCAACTCGAGACCCGGCGGACACCAATGGGCAGAACTGCCGCTAGTCAGCCAATGGCCCTCACAAAATCCTAAGAGGATGGAAGCACACTGTTTGGACATACACCCTCCGATCGGCACACCACGATGCTGCTCATAGACAACGGGGCCAACACTGACACAAGTCTGCGACAAAGCACCTTCTGCGATGGCAAAAATGTCATCCCAGCGGTGCAATCGTGCTCCATGCGACAGTCGAAAAAACTCCTAGCAAGCAAAAAATGCAAACGGCGACTTGCTTCGTAACAACACCAAATGCACCTGAAGCAAGGCGGAGTTGGCGCACAATACGCGAAAGACGCCGCAAGACATCATCTCTGCCAATTTCTTCAAACAACTGCGCTGCGTCACCACCCAAGTGCACAGGGGAGCTATTTTTTATGTTTACAGTTGAAGCCACAAGTCACACACCCATGGTCATGGCGCAGTTTCTTGGCAGCGGTTCGCAAGTCCACAACGGCTGAAAACAAGCCGTTTGTTTCAAACCCGGATGCCCACAAACGGACTACCCCCTCTAGGGCCTTAGCATTGAGCTTGTACATCCAACGACAAGAGTGCGCAGCCCACTGAGACTGACAATCCTGCGACAGCATGCGTGGCTAGCCTTTGCGCATGCGCGGCCAACCCCGGTTTGGAAACACTTAGTCTTAAA